ACTTTTGCCAGCGCTCATATAACTTCTGGAAGCCCTGCTGGAAGCCATTTTTTGAAACCTCCCGTAAGGCCTCCGGCGATGCTGCTCTCACCTCATCTGATGACACAAAACGGTGCCCCTGCAAATGCTTTTTCATTGATGGAAACAAATAAAAATCACACGGGACTAAGTCCGGTGAATAGGCAGGGTGTGGAAGCAGATTAATTTGAGATTTGGCGAGAAACTGTGTGACCATTTGGGACCGATGTGCAGGTGCATTGTAATGCAGAAGGTACCAGTCTCCACTTCGCCAGATCTGCGGTTGTTTACGACGAATGGATTCCCTCAAACAACATAAAATGTCTAGATAATTGAGAGACTAACTCAACATTTTCCTCGTTCCGTGAAGTCGAAGGTCGGCCAGAGCGTTCATCATCTGCGATGGATTCTCGGCCCTCTTTAAACCTTTGATTTCACCATGGTAGAATCACCGTACACCTTTCTTAGCAATTTTAAAGTCTTCATAGATGTTTTACCTAAACGCTGACAAAATTTAATGTTGCAGCGCTGTTCTTGAAACACCATTTTCATTACGTCGCAAAACAAAGGTTTATCTCCGAAAAAAAACAACAGCACTCACGGTTTAATCATGTGACATGGGCGAAATTAACCTGAACACGTAGGGGTGGTTTGATAGAATCTATTTCATACGCTGTAACTTTAAATACATGCTTTTGTTGTCATACATCACTGCAGTCCCTGAACTTTTGGATCGTACCACGTATTACAAGTTTGAAGTTTGCAATCGTTATGGATAGCAATACTTTCTGTGAGGAACTTGTTGAGATACTTTGTATGAGTATGACACCACTCACTATGTTCACATTAAATAATAAAGGATTCCAAAAGATTGCTGGCAAAATGGCTCAGAACCTAGGTGTGTCAACAGGACATGATGCTGTTCATCAATTAGTAACAAGCACAGCAGAGTCTGCTCGCATCAATCTAAGGCAAACTTTAAAAGGCCAATTATGCTATTTAAAGCTAATGCTGCAACCCTTGGAAATAGAAATTTTCTTGCCTTCAATGTACAATTTTGGAATGGAAAAAACGAGAAAACTGAAATAAAAACATTGGATATTGTCGATAATGACGGAAGGCACAACATTTTATATGTGAAAAATCAAATTGAAATCAATGAAAAACAAGTTCTAAGTACTTGTGTAGATAATGCAGTGAACATGACGTGCTGTAAATAAACTTGGCTATCATGAAAATATTTCCCAGGATAAAGAAGATGAAAAAACTGAAGACATCGAAGAAATGAATGTAGACATTTCGCAACAGTGAGTTAAAGATCCCTCCCTAATATTGCCAGAGTGAACTAATGATAATACAAAAGTACACCTCATTATTGTACAGGACTAATGAGGTGTGGGATTCACTCTCAACAGGCCATTTGGGATGGAATAAATAATTAATGAATAATAAAAACATTAGTGAAAAATTTGACAGGTTGTGGTAAAATTACGAACGCCAACATTTCAAAATGTTTTACTGAAAATGTATGGGAAAACTCATTCCTTAGATACAGTAAAGAGATGGGGTTCTACATATGCGATGCTTGATCATCTTTTTTTCAAAGACTACTGTGACCAAGTAGCTGCTACTGGGTCAAAAGACCTAGAACAGGGGCCGGCAGTTTGTCAAGTGAGAAGAGCCAAATTCTCATGGAAACAGGATGGCAAAAGTACCAGAGAGCCGCATATATGTAATATACATATGTATAGGATATGGATTTTTAGGGAAAAAAGTTCAACATGTTTTATTTAAAAAATTAATTAGAACAGTGTCCACGCATTGCTTTTGATAGTTTTACTATATCTGGCAAATAGCTACTTATTTTTAATTGAATGCAAGATTGTAAATTTTCATCCGTTATTCTGCTTCTAAGTTTATTTTTTATTTGGTTCATAGTTGAGAATATTTGTTTGAATATATATGTAGAGCCAAAGATTGTGAGAATACCAAAAGCTAGTTTTTTTTTAACGTGTCATATGTCAGGCAAACTATTCCATTTATCAAATATTATTGTTTCTATTTTAGGCAGTTGTTTTATAGCTGTCCACTTGTGATGAGAAATTAAATTAGATTTCTCTATTTCAAGTTCTTTCAAGCAGCTAATCAGATCCGTAAATTTGTTGCTCCACAGTTCCTTGCTTTTAAAATCTATTAACTGCATCTGCAGTGAACAGCATCTGTGTCGAAAGGTGTTAAGTTAAGTTCATTGACATTTATTTGAGAGTACATATGATGAAAGCTAGTGTAGCCTTATTTTCTTTGAATCGTTGAAATAAATTGCATCAAAACAACTGCTTTTTCCATCATGATATTATCTTAAATTCTTGAAATTAAGTAATTCACCTCTCCCTATATCTTCGGTGAGAACTTGTGATTTATTTTCAAAGCATTCTACTTCTTTCAATAATGTATATGCGATGTTTCTTTTCCGTTGCATTAATATATTCAAAGCATTAACCCGTTGCGTACGAAGAAATTTTTGATATTAATGTAATTAAACATAAAAATATTTAAAACTGAAAAAAATGCATTAATTTTGAAGAAAAAGCTTCAAATTTTATTTTCCTTTGTCTTGACTTTCTGTGAAATCTGACACTGATGAGTCATTGTTTACACAGCTGGATGACCTTGAACACAGCTGGAGTTGGATTTCCCGGAACATTCTCATAGAAGTCTCAGGAGGCAATGGGTTTATAGTAGGATGAATACTAGCTGGCCATATATTTTTAAATATTTTTAAAAAATTAAAATTTTTATTGTGATTTCCGACCCCCCTGAATTAATTAAACTTATATATAATAAAATTTATTAATTAAAAAAAATTTAAAAACTATTGGAAGTCGTTTTTGATATCAGAAACTAGCTTTAAATAACTTTACCGAAGGAAAATCCGTGCACTACAACTTTAGAACGATGAATGAAATTTGATATCAAACTCCCATTAAAAAACAATTAAGCGTGAATCGTGCGTCATTAAAGGTAAATTAAAATCACAATAAAATTTTTTCGCGCGGGAAAAAAATTTTGAAAAAATTTGGAGACTTAGAAAACATTCCAAAAATCAAAAAAAAAAAAAAAAACAAAAATTTTTTTAGAGGTCCAAACGCCCAAGTTTTATGTAACTTGCCTGAGATATCTCAGGATATGTCCTTAAGGAGTTAAGGTATGAAGTAATGTCGACCATGAAATGAAAGAAGACACATGGCTACAAAAATTACAATTCTTGATGTTTGATGTTATTTTACATAGGAACAATTTTATTTCTTCTAAACATGAAGTAAAGCATTTCAGTACATTACCTCTGGAAAGTCAGTGAACCATATTGTGCAGAAGTAAATCTAGGTACTTGCTATCCATTACGTCCAAGAGTACCTTAAATTGGCAATGATAGAGTGGTTTGGCCAAGATGCTGTTACTTTGATGACAAAGTTCATTACCGCAACCATTCCTTTGGGAAATGTTTGGGCACAAAGCACTTCTTCATGTATTATGCAGTGGAGCGTGAGAATTTTGTGGTAAATTTTTCTCATTAAAATTGAAACTGCTCCTTTGTTTATGCCTGTCATAATTTTAGCTCCATCAGTAGCAATGGAAATTATTTTATTTAGGTCAATTCCAGTGTTTTTCAGGTATGTTTCTATAGCATTCACAATATCTTCTCCACATGTTTGTCCCTTGAGTAGCAACAGTCCAAGAAGTTCTTCTTTGGGACCCTGTGCTGACATATATCATACAAAGTGGGTTACTTGTGCTTTATCACTAATATCACACTACTCATCTGTTGCAATTGATATTGCAGAAGCCAGCTTAATATCTTCGACTTGCTTCTCTGTTACATTTGAAGACATTTTGGAAATTATGTCTTGCACTGTTTTCGCAGATAGAGTTCAATTCTTTTATTCTTTTCGTGATTGCTTCTTTATTTTTAAAGTCAGAAAAAAGCTCTTCTGATGCTTTCACAAAGCACTATTTAATGTAATCGCCATCTGTGAATGGTTTTCCTCTTTGACGATATTTGCACTATCTGGAAATCTGTAAATCATGCCAGCTTTGTGGTCTGTGTGTCCAGTTGTCAAATATGAAACTGAAGTTCTGTAACAGCTCTCTTCCGTGCGTCACCTGCCAGATATTTGCTTGTGAATGTATATGTTTTGTAAAGAAATGTCGAAGTTGAATTTTTATTATTTGTGATCTTTTCGTGACAGATGAGACAAGTCTGAAGACCATCCATATTTTGAATGAACGCATATGACTCAGTCCATTCCCCCCTTGATGTGGGTTCCTGTCCGTGGTGAGGGGACCTCCCAGAGATGGTTTAGTAATTCTTTACCATCCCTGGGATCTGAACGCCCATCCAAGTGTTTGCTGTGCATGGTATCCCGTATGCTGGAAAGGGGGATCCTGGTAGTTGAGGGGGAACATAACGTCCCCAACACACTGCTTTGGATAAACGGGTGGCTGAAATCAGGCACTGTTTCAGTCAATCGGCTGGTCGTTGAGTCGTTCTTGACCTTGGCCTGGAGTCAACTGATTGATGCAGACCGGGTGGACATGTCAGACTAGTTGTGCTCTTCTTGACTGCATTGTGAAGGTATAGCTCCTGGGAAACCCTGGTGTGATGGTTTATGGTTTTTTCCCATGTGACGGCATCTCCTTGTTGGGCTCCATGATGGGTGGGGTCACTAGGAGCTGAATATTTAAATATTAATTATGGATTCCAAAAACTCAAAACATCCAGAAGTATCAATATCCAAGACCAAAGAAAAGCCCTCCAGTCAACCTGCCAACTTAATAGTGCACGCAACTGGAGAAAAACCCCTCACTAAGCGTTCTCCTTTTTTGAATCAACGATTAGGCACCTAAAAAACATTCAAAAATGGAGGACAGGAGACCTACTAGTAGAAACAGCCTCTCCTCAACAAACAACAAAGCTTTCAACAATGAAGACTCTTGGAGACATGGGAATATTAGTCACACCACACACAAGTTTGAACTCATCACATGGTGTGATATATCAGTTCTATTTGATGTCTGAAGACGAGTCAGACATTCAGATTGGCCTGTTGGACCAAGCTGTCACTTCTGTCCAACGCATTTCAATCTGCCGAGATGGCAAGTTGATACCCACAAAACATCTAATTCTCACATTCGACAACCCAACATTACCATCCTTTGTTACAGCAGGATACCTGCGCTGCCAAGTTTGTCTGTATATTCCAAATCCGTTGCATTGCTTCAAATGCCAGTGATTTGGACATTCCCAGACCACCTGCCGAGGCAAAAGCTTATGTGCACAGTGTGGAACTGAAGGTCACGACAGTACTGTAGGTAAAAGTACTCCACACTGTGTGAACTGTAAAGATGCCCATCCTGCCTATTCCCAGAAATGCCCTGCATGGCAAAGAGAAAAGGAGATTCAACGGGTGAAAACTGTGAAAAACGTATCATATCCAGAAGCCCATCGCATGGTGACTCCAGGTGATTTCAAAACTGCAGCAAATGTCTTTTGCTGCAGTTTTGAAATCTACTAAGACATGTGGAGTTCAAACAGATATTTCTGTCCCCCAAGTGAATCTCTTACTTGCCATGCAAAATGTTTATTGATCCCATCTGCACAATCAGAAGAAAAGGAGAACACAAAGGCCAAAACCACTGTAACAAAAACAGGGGTAACAACCAGAAATGTGGGTTCTAAAAAAGCCAGTAAGAACCCACTTAACAAACAAAAAAAGTGAAAGCAGCCCTCTCTATAGTCTCAATAAAATCAGAAGTTCAATCTATGAGTGAGTTTTCTGACATATCTGATGAAGAGCCTAACATGGAGGTGACAAAACCAATGTCACCTCCAAAAAAAAAAACCCCTGTTAAATTAAAGAGGGATAACCTCGCTATGAATAGTGGCTCAAACACAGAATGGGTTATAAAATAATCCAATGGAACTGTTGTGGTTTCCGTAACAACTTCTCTGAGGTTAAACACTTGACATCATCTACAATTCCACCTCATCTCTCACTCCAGGAAACACATCTAAAACCTGGAAAAGATATTTCTTTAAGAAGATTCGATCTTTACCGCAAGGATGATGATAGCCACAACTGTGCCAGAGGAGGTGTGGCTATTGTAGTTTCAAATCACATCCCATCCTTGCCAGTACAAATAACCACTGATTTGCAAGCTGTGGCAGCCAGAATTTTTATTGGAGTAACTGTCACAGTTTGTTCTATATACTTGCCACCAGATGTCAGAGTCAATGAGGATGAACTGGATGCCTTGGTTGAACAGCTGCCAACACTATTCCTTTTACTTGGTGATTTCAATGGTCACCATCCAATGTGGGACAGTCTCGACATTAACCGTTGAGGTAGGACCATTGAAAGATTTATAGGTAATCACCAACTATATTTATTTAATACTGGAGAAGTGACATATTTCTGTGCCCGAACAAGAATATTCACTGCCATTGATCTATCATTAGCAACCCCAAACCTGTTTTCAGCATTTTCATGGGAGGTCAGATCTAATACACTTCCCAATATTTCTAAAATATCAAGGCAGAGAAAGCTGTGAAACAGCCTGTCCACCACACTGGAAACTTGAAACGGCAGATTGGCCTGCATTCTCCACTTTGGCTGACATTACTGAGGAAATGGTCAATACTGCAGATATCAATGATGCAGTTGAGGTTGTCACTTCCAGTATCATTCAGGCAGCTGAAAAAACAATGGGGAAAACATCAACTGGATATCCAAAGCATCCGAAACCATGGTGGAACCAGAATTGCGAGGCAGCATTAAAAACACAAAAGAAAGCATGGGAGATTTTCAGAAGGTACCCCATTGCTGATAATTTGGTTGCTTTTCAAAAAGCAAAGGCAAATGCCAGAAGAATAAGGAGGCAAAGCAAAAGGGATTCTTGGAGGAAGTATGTTTCTAGTATAACATCTTCCACCAGCTCAAAAGCAGTCTGAGATAAAATACATAAAATTAATGGGAAATATGCTTCTCACTCTCTGTTCATGCTGGAAAATAATGGCACAATAATCAGCGACATACAGGGTATTGCTGATTTATTGGGTAAAACATTTTCTACTTCATCCAGCAATATTATGTATTCAAGAAATTTTTAGGCTTATAAAGCCCAAAGTGAAAAACAATATTTAAACTTTCATTCCTCATATAATGAGGAATATAATGTGCCATTCACTAGCATAGAACTACATACAGCAATCTCTCGCTTGGGGAATAGTGCTGCCGGCCCGGATAAAATCCACTACAGCATGATTAAAAATCTGTCAAACAATTCCCTTTGTAATCTTCTAAATCTGTTTAACAGAATATGGACAGAACATACTTTTCCTGACTCTTGGAGGCTTTCTATCATTATTCCCATTCCGAAGCTTGGTAAAGACCACAAGATCCCTCTAATTACAGACCAATCTCTCTGACAAGTTGCCTGTGTAAATTCTTTGAGAGGATGGTAAACAGACGTCTGATGTATCTCTTAGAGAAAAATGAATACTTTTCACCACATCAGAGTGGTTTTCGTAGGAACAGAAGTACCACTGACAATTTAGTAAACCTTGAAACATCTATTCGCGAAGTGTTTGTTAGACGACAGCACCTAGTGTCTGTATTTTTTGATATAGAGAAGGCCTATGATAGCTGTTGGCGATACAGGATACTCCGTGATCTCTACGAATTTGGGTTGTGGGGTAATTTGCCAATTTTTATAAAATACTTTCTACAGAATCGAAGATTCTATGTCAGGATGGGCAACACCTTATCTAGGCTCTTCACCCAAGAAGAAGGTGTCCCTCAAGGCTCTATGTTGAGTGTGACTCTGTTCCTAATTAAAATTAATAGCATAGCTAACTGTCTTCCCCCTAGTGTGAAACACTCTTTGTATGTGGACGACTTTCAGATCTCCTGCCAGTCTAGTAACATGAGTTTCATTGAGAGACAACTGCAAACCTCTTTAAATCGCATAGAAAATTGGTCCAAGACCAATGCTCTTAGTTTTAACACGGAGAAGACCTCGTGCATCTACTTTTGCCAAAGGCGTGGTTTGCACTTTGATCCCAAAATTTACCTAAATGGGGTCAAAATCCCAGTGGTGAAGGAGGAAAAATTTTTGGGTGTTTTGTTCGACCATAAACTGACGTTATTGCCACACTTGCGCAATTTGAAGAGTAGATGTTTAATATCTCTGAACCTTTTAAAGGTACTGTGCTGCTCATCTTGGGGAGCAGACAAATGTTCTATGCGCAGGATTTATAGGGCCCTTGTCCGCTGTAAGCTGGACTAAGGATGTGTTGTGTATGGCTCTGCAAGGGAATCTACTCTTCGGATGCTGGATCCAATTCATCATCAAGCATTACGTCTGTGCACTGGTACCTTCTGCACCTCTCCTGTCCAAAGTCTGTACGTGGATGCTTATGAGCCTCCACTATCTCATAGGAGAGAACAATTGTCTCTTTTTTATTATATAAAACAGAAATCTCATACTAAACCTTCAGTTGAATTTACAGTATCAGATACTCAGCTGAAAAGGCTATTTGAAGCTTGCCGAAGTTGTGTCCCTACATTCAACATAAGAATGGAGAATGTAAGCAGCACGATTGACCTTAACACAAGCAACATCTCACAGGTTGAGGTTAATAGTATTCCACCTTGGTCAACCCCAGTGATAGATGTTGATTTAAGCTTAAAGCAGTTACCAAAAGAAACCACGCTAGACTATGTCTATAGACAGCACTTCGCAGAAATTCAATATCGTGACAGGAATTTAATTCCTATATACACCGATGGATCTAAATCGGATAACTATGTTGGCGTAGCCTTTGTTTGCCAGGATGAAATTGTGGCAAAACAAATAGCACCAAATTCTTCCATCTTTTCTGCAGAGTTGCAGGCTATTTATTTAGCCTTAAAGTACATAAATAGGAAAGGTCATCGTTGCTGCATGATTTACACTGACTCAGTTAGTGCACTTCAGGCTTTGATCTCACCAGAACCTAGTTGCCACTCCATAGTGACTAAAATTCGTATACTGTTTTGCCATCTTCTTGCAAGGTGTTTCTTTGTAAAATTTTGTTTGGTCCCAGGCCATGTAGGTACCGTGTTTCCCCGAAAATAAGACAGTGTCTTATATTAATTTTTGCTCTGAAAAATGCACTAGGTCTTATTTTCAGGGAATGTCTTATTTTTTCCAGGAAGAAGAATTCACATTTATTATTGAACAAAAAAATTTCCAAGTCGAACTTAGACGAGATTGACGTGTATCTGGTGTGTCGAACTGTCGCCATTTTATAGCGTCAACATCAGACTCAATGACCAATTAGTACTTACTGAACCGTAGCACTATGCAAATGTCATGTGGCGTTATTCCCGGCCGACCAATTAGCCATCACCAGCCGTAACGTTATGTAAATCTGTGAGTCCCAACCATAGTCTTATGCAAATCATGCCGTGTGGCTGTACTTTCAAAAAGCCAACGGCCACTTTTAACCACCTGTCGATGACCGTTACGACTAAAAAAAACTTCGCTAGGTCTTACTTTCAGTGGGAGGTCTTATATTTCGCAATTCAGCAAAATCTGTGCTAGGTCTTATTTTCTGCGGATGTCTTATTTTCGGGGAAACACGGTATAAGAGGAAACAAAGAAGCTGACACATCTGCAAAGTCAGCAAGTTATCCACAGCATACAATGCGTATTGAAGGAGGTGATTTGAAGGTAGTCGTTAAAAAACGACTAGCAGAGAGATGGCAAATTATGTGGAACGCACAGATCCACAATAAACTATATGAGATCAAACCTTTAGTAGAAAATTGGACACATAATAGGCAGTATGATAGGAGATCTGAGGTTGTCCTTACTCGTTTGAGAATTGGACACACTCGACTGACTCATCAATACCTTTTGAAGGGAGATGACAAACCAGTATATCAGTACTGCAAATGTGTTGCTTTTGATCAGAATCATAGAGAGCATTTCGGAAATGCAAACTTTAGAGACATTTTGGGCCAGAGGCCAAATCTGGATAATATGCTGGACTCTCTGAAAGTCATTAATATGTATAGAGAAATATGATGATTTATTTATTGTATAGTTTTATTTACTTTGTATTGCATGTTTAAATTATTCTATATATTTCTTGTTGTTTATTTATTTATTTATTACATTTTAGATATTATATTTATATTACAATTGGCTTTTTAATGGTTAAACTGTTATGTATCATTTATGTGTATATATGTGTTTTCCTATTTATCTTATACGCCCAATCATACCATGTGTCGTAGCGCAGTATAGCCTGCATGGCTTTTGTGCCAATAAAAATTAACCAACCAACCAACCTAAAATGTAATTGGGGTTCCATAATACCACTTTCTCCTCTACTATTAAATTTTGGTTTTTAATTAAAAGTTGACAGGGTGAAGACATAAAAGGGGTCATGTGTGATATCTCGTAATGAATATTTTACTCATTATTAGCGTTCAAAATTTAAAAAAATAGAATAAAACTCGTCTCTACCCTCAAAGTAAGCTTTTTTGCCATTTTATAATACAATAGTGCAGTAAAACCCGTTAAGATGTTTTTGTCTAAGATGTTAGAATGTATATGGGGGGACATGATTTAGTTCAACCACTTTGACACTTAATAACTAATTCCTGTGTCCTCATCTGACCACAGAAATTATTAGGCTTTAAGGTAAACAAAATTATGCCCCTCACGCACAGTCTAACATCCACACATATAGAAAAAATAAAACTTCAAATCTTTTGCATATCTCAAAATTTCGAGGTGTCCTGAGTCCAAAAATGTAAAAATTTGGAAAGGGTCATTTTTTGACAGAGCGCTACACTTTCCTTCTGCATAACAGCCGGAAAAGTAAAAATTATCGAATACATATTTATATATTACTTAGAGGAGTCTTTTAGCATTGGAATAAAAAGTTTCTATGCTCTTTCTCTATTAGAACTCTATTTATTGAATCTTTTATTCTGAGGTCACGTGATGACATCAGAATTTCCGGGTCTCTTTTGGTAACAAGTCCTCCCTTGGTCGGAGTCGGAGTTGGTAGATTTTTACGCAATTCCACAGCCCTGGACACGAGTGAAAGACGACCATTGAGTTATAACATTTGCACGTTCAACTATCTGTATGTTGTTGACGATTACAGTTCAGAAGACCGATCTGTTTGGACGTGTTTTGGTGAGTTTAGGTCTGTTAGGAGTGAGACGTTCGTTCTAGTCGTTTGCTTCGTTTGGACTTTGATTTTGATGCAAAAGACCAAATATAATTAGAAGACGAGAAGAGATATTTTAAACTAATTTAACCCTTCGACCCCTAAACTGGACGAGTCTATTTCCGAAGTTCGAACTAGGTACACAGCAGGAGGTAACAGTTAACACGTGAGTAAGCTTATTCAAGTTTGGTTCGCCATTGTTTGCGGTCGGACAACTAAAAGTTTTAGCAGCTGACATTCCCACTTCTGGTGTCTGACAAGTTCCCAAAGTGGGCACCCATGTAGTGTCGTACAAGTGCTGGACTTAGAAATTAAGACAGGACCAGACCGACTGACACATAGTGTGACCATCAACTTCTGGGATATCCAAAGTAGCTTGGTCTCACAGGAGGCCATAATTATCAGGAGGACACCACAACTGCTGGTAAGAGGAATTTAATTATTTCACGCAAGCCAACCAACCTCTTCCCCTCTGTCTCAGCGAGCTACACTCCTGAGACAGAGTCTGTAGCCATAAGGCATCTTTTACCTACACAAAACACTCACACTACATCCTTTTGGTTGGTCGTTGCACTAAACAATACTCCAAGATTTACTCGGCTAAGGGCAAAATAGGGATGGTAAATTATCTCAACGAGGAAAAAAGGGAGAACCAGATGAGGACTTAGACTCCTCAGATACAGAATGTGAGGATACCTCCAAGTCTAGGATTATCCCTAATGACGGATTTTCCACCACACTGGAGGCTATGCTACTAGCCGAAGCCAACGAGCATCTCCAACAGATCGTGCAATTGCTTCCACAACCTAGCAAATACAACCCATCGGTACCGGACAAGAAAGAAGTCAAGGAGAGGGCTACCGCAATGTTCGCTACCATTAACAAACTGTATGGTAGCTTAGTGGAGCTTAGGTCATCTAAGACTGGCACAGTGGTGAATCAACAACAATGTCTGTGCCAACAGACGCAACCAAAGACGACACCACTATACTCTGAAATGGTTAAATCAAGTATCCCATAGAGCTTAACCACCAAGACAATATCCAGATCAATTAACAAGAAAATAAGAAGTGAAGGGTGTAGCAGCAGCTATGCAGTAATAGTATACCCCAATGACACAAACAGGAAGAAAGTTAATATGGAAAACATAAAACAAAACATATTTAAAGAAGTAAAGCCAGACAAACTTAAAATTAAAGTTACAGCCATCAAACAAGTGCAAGGAGAAGGGCTGTGTTTCCGCACAAGCAGCAAAAGAGACGCCACTGTCCTAGAACAGGCCATCCAAGGGCTCCCGGAAGTTCAGCCACTGATAAGAACAAAGCTTTCAGAAGGTAGAAGGCCACGGGTTATAATGCTAAACGTTCCTAACTCGGTCAAAGACGATGACATCATAAATATGATATACGAACAAAACGAATCCCTACATGGGATTAACAAAGAAGATTATGTGGCATCCACCAGAATTAGTACCACGCTAACAAGAGGAAACACGAAAGAGAACTGTCGTCACGTGCTGTCTACTACTCCATTTATACGGAGCCACCTCATTAAAGAGAAGTATATATCAATCTCCTGGGCCAACGTTTTAATAGACGACTATGTGCACATAACCTGGTGTTTTCAGTGTTATGGTTTCAACCACCTGGCTAGAGACTGTACCTCAAAGCAAAGCTGCAGCCACTGTTCTAAGACCCACAGGTACAGTGAGTGCTCCAGGAGAGAGCAGCCAGCCTGCTGTATTGTATGCAAAACAGCAAACAAGGATCTCCCACCGGAAAGGCGCCAGCCAACTAATCACAACGCATTTGACCCCAAGTGTCCGCAGACTATAAAAATAAGGGAGCAAGTAATAAAACAAACAAATTATGGGAACTAACACACACCAAGGGAACCTCAAGCTGCTGCAAATAAATTTGCAACGATCTAAGGCCGCTGCTACAGAGACTTTGCATATGGCAAATACATAACAAGCTGACATCCTTGTTGTCCAGGAGCCATATTGTTTTGATAAAAGGATAGCCCTCTTTGGGAACCTCAATATATTTAACCACTCCGACACCTCTGGGAACCCGAAGACTGGGATTATCATGGTAAACAAGAATAACAATGCTCATCAACTAAACCAGCATTACACAACTATCATCATCATAACCGATACCTCTTCAACAGCCATCATCTCATTCTACTGCTTGCCTTCAGAGGACATTATAGAACCGCTAGAAGACCTACAAGAAATCATCCAACAACTGAAGTGCATCCTCATCCTGGTAACAGGGGACTTCAACGCAAAATCCCAGCTCTGGCACAGCCCAGTAGAGGACCCAAGGGGGTACAAGGTGGTGGAATTAATTAATAGACTGGACCTGCAATCGACCAACACAAGTAAACTGGCAACATACTCCTCATCCACGGGGGAAAGCTGGGTTGACATCTGCCTGGCTAACCGTCTACTCACTTCACAAGGGATCCAATGTAGCACACTTTACGTTCACTCAGCCAGTGACCACCGATACATTGAGATGACAATCAGTGCCATTGGCGTGGTCAAACATTACCGTATCAGGCAAAAAACTAGGTGGGACCTTTTTCCGGAATTTATAAGGCTAAACTGGCATACAGAACCAATGGAGACTATGGAAACTATGGATTTGGAGGGTACCATAGAAAATTTGCAAAATCTAATACTCAAAGCATATTACAACACTACCAAGACCAAGGCAACCAGGCAATCTGCCCCCCTGGTGGAACAGAGAGCTGACAGACCAGAGGAGCAATCTCAGAAAATCCAGGAACCGGTTCAGGTGCGAACATGATCATGACAGGCGAGAGGTACTCCGGCAGGAATATCTCACGCTATTCCGGGAATATAAAACTTCCATATGCAAAGCGCGTACGGACTCCTGGAGGGAGTTCTGTTCTGAACTCGGTGGACGAAAGCCCTGGTCCACGCCATATGTAGCAAAGGGCAAAGTAAAGTGCACAAGGATCCCAAACAACTTTAATTCCAGTATTAATAACCCCACCACTTCAATCAAAGACACCTATGATAAAATCATTAATGATCTCTTCCCGAACGACGACCCAAGCACGGACAGCATAACACACAAGGATATCAGAAGAAACAGCCAAATTGCACCAGATACCGACGACGACAGTCAGTTTTCCTACCAGGAAATTGCAACAGAGTTCCGGAAGCTTAAACTTCACAAGGCACTGGGGAATGACAACATAACCCCCAGGATGGCCAAGATGGCTTTCGAGGCAATACCAACCACGTTCAGCATGATATACAAGTGCTTGCAGCAGGCTTACTTCCCGAAAATTTGAAAAACTGCCTCAATCAAGCTAATACCAAACCAAAAGAACCCCTCCAACTCCTCAGACTACAGGCCGATCTCCCTACTCCGTTTTGGGGAAAATCTTAGACAGGCTCATGGCAAACAGACTGATCTATCACTGTGAATGCAACAACTACCTAAGTGATCAGCAGTATGGTTTTAGGAGGGGGAGGAGTACGGTCACTGCCATTGACGCCATTGTTAACTTTATAACCGAAGCCGAGAGCAGGGGGGAGCATACCATGGTGATTTCGATCGATTACAAAGGAGCTTTCGACCATGCATGGTGGCCTACTATCCTCACAAGCATTAAAGCCTTTGGTTGTCCGAAGAACATCTTTAATCTGGCAAAAGATTACCTGAAGGATAGGAAGATTATGATAATAAACAATGAACAAATTCACCTTAACAAAAGCATAAACAGGGGGTGCCCACAGGACTCCAGGTCCGGGCCATTCCTTTGGAACGTGATGTACAATAGCCTCCTGGAACTTAGGTCTAGCTTTCCTGGGGATAGCATCTGCAACATTCAAGGTTATGCAGATGACATGATCCTGGCCATCTCACATAACAACCAAGAGGTTCTACAAGTCAGGACAAACGACATTCTACGAGTGATCTCAGATTGGAGCCACAAATCAAAACTCAGGATCAACTATGAAAAGTGCAGCTGCGTTCTTTTCCCAAAGACCACCCATTAAAAATGGGCGGGAAACACATAAAAAATAGTGACAGACTCAAATACCTAGGAGTGATCTTGGATAATAGGCTTACTTGGAAACATCAAGTGCACCATGTTTACAAGAAGGCAGTCACAGTTATGCACTCATTGGCCTCCATAGCCCGAAACCACTGGGGTTACGGCAGCGTGGCTCGCCGACTACTATACATCACGGTAATCGAACCCATCCTGACCTATGGGTCGGAGGTTTGGGGGACATCAATTACAAAAGTGCACAACAAGAGGAAGCTGATTTCGGCACAAAGGCTCACCCTCATCTCAATTACTAAGGCCTATAAAACGGCCCCCACAGATGCACTCCTAGCCACCGCAAACCACATTCCTATAGACCTCATTATCAAGGAAAAGGTCTGGAGCCACCAACTGCTCAAGCTCACAAAAGGACGTAAATTCAATGAAGTCATGAATAATTTAGTGGACAGCCAAGCCAATGAGAACATCACGAACCACATAAACTCCTATAATCTCGACTTCAACAATCAGCAAGTACTGTATCACCCCAAGACCTCACTATAAGAAATTTTCACGATGGATGGCTCCCTGACCCAGACGGGCTTCTGTATTTATACAGATGGCTCCAAGTCTGAAAAAGGGGTCGGCAGCGCTTTCGTTGTCACCATCAATTGTAACGTCCATCAAGCATGGTTTAGGTTGGCGAACCACTGTACGGCCAAGCAGGCTGAGTCCTTCGCCATTCGTAAAGCACTCGACTGGATCCACCAACACAACATCACCCACAGCCTGAAAAGTGTCAAGATTTTCAGCGATAGCAAAGTGGCTCTACTACAGCTAAAGAACCTGAACGCTAAGCACATCATCTAGGAAAGTGCCAGCCTACTATTTTCAATGAGAGAAAGCATCGACATTAGGTTCGCCTGGGTCCGCGGTCACACAGGGGTTCAAGGGAATGAGAGGGCCAACCTCTTGGTCCGTTCTGCCCCTACCTGGTGCCGCAACCCCTCATTTGGACTCGCACCACTCACCTGGCTGAAAAACAGCATTAAAGAGAAAACCTGGGAAACCTGGCAAGACAGGTGGACAACTAGTACCATGGGCAGGGTCACATTTGGTGTCATCCCAAGTGTCAGGGACAGGAATCACTATAAACACTTTGTTACCAACTACTGCATAACCCAGCTCATCACAGGCCACGGGAACTTCCGGAGCTATCTCAGGAGGTTCCTAAATAAAACGGATGGGAAGTGCCAATGCGACACCAACAAGGATGAAGACCCTATGCACATCCTATGGAACTGTCCAAATTACAGCGCCCAAAGAAGACAGCTTAGGAACACAGTCCAAGAAAACAACGACTTATGGCCATGCCAGAATCACATGCTCATTCGGGAAAAAAAATACTACAAAGCACTAAAAACTTTTGCATCAGACATTAAGGTGCTTAACTAGGGTTTTGTAGGTGGGATTAATTTCGCCTCCCTAGGCATAATGCGTTTCCCAGTGTGTGCTGCATTTGTACTAAAATGTTATCCAGTAGATGTAATCAATAGTCATATTGATGTATTATGTATTGCTTACCTTTTCAGCAGTATAACCTGTAAAAATTTAAATAAGCAAATGTCGCGACATCTTCTTATTGTACTGAATGTATTGTAGTGTCAAATCGGTGTTTTATGTAGTATTAACCTAACAGTAGTATTGCCTGTGTAAACACTAATAAACAATTGTCGCGCTATCTTCTCATTGTACCGTATCTAACAAGTTATCTTGTGAATGTACTTAATTGTCAAATCGATGTATTATGTATTATGTAGAGTTAACTATAACGGTAGTATCAACTATAATAATTCAATTAAACAATTGTCGCGCCACTTTCATATTGTACCTATATCTTTACTGTACTGTTTTGTATCATATCTTTGTAATTGATTTGCTTTTCAATAAATGCGATGCGAGGAACTCATAAACC